AAAGCTAATTCAATTTGTGTCATCATTACATTCTATAAGTTATTTATGCATTATAATGTTGCTTATTTACCTAATTTCTCTAATTCGCCAAATGTCAGTATCAAACCGCATGTTTTGGTGTAACCCAGCCAGTGTCCCAAAACCTCGTGTATCATAAGACACTTTAATGTTTCGCCCTCGAGATCCAACGTTATAACATTTCAGTGCACAACCATCATCTAGTTATGAGATATTTCCTAGGTATATTATATTTCGGTTCCAGTACCTTTTACTGTCTTATACATGTTTCTAATACATATTTCCGCAAACAGTGCCGCTTAGCCTACGTAAGGAACGCAGCAGTCTGTGGATCTTCTAGCTACCTAACTTACTGTCGGTAATATAAGCAAATAACAGGACTGTTAATAACAGAAATGTACGATATACAACAAAATTGTCCCCATCTATATAAAAAACATTCGACACTAACGCTGCGGTAGGCTTGACACAGTTATTTGCGCACCGCTTAGTTAACTCTTACCGACAGGGCGGGGTGGTGGTTCAAAGCGAAATGGAGGTCACTGTCGTTTGCCTAATAAATGCTAGGCGGCGTCTTTGATCTAGCCTCCAAGCATGCATGTAGTAGAAGTAGACGATGATCAGGATGGCCTGGAAATAAACAAGATTCTTTCTTGTTGCATATCAAGGCACCAATTCATCTGTCATGAGATGTTTATGTATGTGTGCACAATTAACTAGAATGTTTCATATTGTTACACGTCGATTCCCAAATTGAAACAATATGTTAACCCAGAAATCCGCAAGGCGCCGGAATTCGCTGTGCAGAGTTATATCTAATTTTAAGTTATTTCGGAGTATCCCCTACTTTGTTTTAATGGTATATATCACATTATCATAATCACATGATATAATAATACTCTCTCTCACTCACTCCTTTTGTGATCATGATCGTAACCGGATGTCGTCTGAAAACAGTGTGACTTTTGAAAGTGGTTTCAAACCTGACACCAGAGGATATATGTTTAATACAACATTGATCCCCCACTCCACTGTCACTGCTATCATTTTGCAGGCATTGCCCATTCCCTTTTCAGCTCTAAATTTAAGGGCCTTGCATTGAGGATTTTTTATATACTTTTTCTAACTTCATTTTATACAGAACCATATACAGAACCTTATTTCAGGGACTGTATATTAGTCTAAGCGACGAGATAAGCAAACTGCTTAATTGTGTATTCCCAACAGCTGCCATGACACATATGTGTCGACGGGTTTGTAACGCACCAGCATAGGACAATCTATTTCCTCAGTATCGAGTGATTGAGTTGGGCTTAACTGTTGGAACTTTGGTGCTGACAAACCTAGAAACATAATCGGGGCGAACCGGGATTCATAGTGTTTGGTGTGGCCAAGGGACGCAGCAAAATGTGGTGCCTTAGACGACTGGGCTACCCGTACCCTCTATTTCCTCATTAAATGCTCATGGAAATATGTCTTAATTCTTGCAATTCAAACACAACACAGATCAACAGAGGTAAACACGCGAGTGTGTTTTCGGAAGGTAATTAGGAATAAACATAGTATTAACGAGCCGACTGGCAAGGGCGACGCCATGTTTGTTTGTAAACACTGAAAGTAGTACCTACCTGACCTTTTATACTTGCATCTTTATCCGTACATGACCCAAACGGATAACGTTTATTTCCGTTGGTTTTATCCTGTCTGGAAACTTACCCAAAATATGAGAAATTATTTTAACTTTATACATACCCGTGGTATTTCTTTTAAAAAACCGGGCGGTCAGGTAGCCTAGTGGTTAAAGCGTTCGCTCGTCACGCCGAAGACCCGGGTTCGATTCCCGACATTGGTACAATGTGTGAAGCCGAATTTCTGGTGTCCCCCGCCGTGATATTGCTGGAATATTGCTAAAAGCGGCGTAAAACCATGTTCACTCACTCACTCACTCTTTTAATAAACAGAACTACTGCTATTTATATCCAAATCCTCCACAATAAGGATGCGTGACAGGAATAACATGTATACCAGAAACACACAGTTAGTAGATCCAACGTGGATTCCGAACCTGGAATACGACAGGGACGTGCCCTCCCTGTAGCATGAGCTGACAGAAAAACCACGTGAATGTAATCAGCAGTGTGCGAGCTACATCACGGGGAACTGCACAAATTTTAGGCTACCAAACACACTATCGGGGTACATGAGCATGCACGGTCAGTCCTAAAACCGAGATTGATCGCCTCATTATCCCCCGCCGCGCGAAAGCGGGAAGCGGGGGATATAGTATTCACGACCGTCCGTACGTCCGTCCGTACGTCCGTCCGTACGTCCCACCTGTTTGTTGCCGCGATATCTCAAGAACTAAACACTGGATTGTCTTCATGTTTGGAACTAGGGTGTATATACAGACACCGCAGACACCAGTCGGTTTTGGTGACCTTGACCCCATTTTCAAGGTCACAGCAGGCAAATCTGCTTTTTGAGTTTGAAAACGGTGTTGCCGCGATATCTCAAGAACTAAACACTGGATTGTTTTCATATTTGGAACTATGGTGTATATACAGACTCCGCAGACACCAGTCGGTTTTGGTGACCTTGACCCCATTTTCAAGGTCACAGCAGGTAAATCTGCTTTTGGAGTTGGAAAACGGTGTTGCCGCGATATCTCAAGAAGTAATCGCTGGATTGTCTTCATATTTGGAACTATGGTGTATATACAGACACCGCAGACACCAGTCGGTTTTGGTGACCTTGACCCCATTTTCAAGGTCACAGCAGGCAAATCTGCTTTTTGAGTTTGAAAACGGTGTTGCCGCGATATCTCAAGAACTAAACACTGGATTGTTTTCATATTTGGAACTATGGTGTATATACAGACTCCGCAGACACCAGTCGGTTTTGGTGACCTTGACCCCATTTTCAAGGTCACAGCAGGTAAATCTGCTTTTGGAGTTGGAAAACGGTGTTGCCGCGATATCTCAAGAAGTAATCGCTGGATTGTCTTCATATTATGGTGTATATACAGGCGGGGGACATTTCGTCACTTCTGTGACAAATACTTGTTATGATTTCCACCGGTCTGTGGACAAGCGTTAGGTACTAGGGACCTTTTCGTTTACTGATTTGATAACGGTCAGACTTCCTTGAGACAGCTTACTCCTGATTGCATCTTCCCGAGGTCAAGGCATCCTCTAGCCTATGCCCAAGATTAGTTTTACCCTTGCCATTTGAAGCCTACGTTTCTGAGAAATGATATGAGAGGACTGGTCGCCTGTCGAATTTGCGCTAAAAATATTCGAAAAATTTAGCAAAGACAATATTTTCGAAGTCGTTCAAAGTCTTCAATCACACTCGCCCAAGTGTTTTTTTTCATATATTGGAGAGCAAACTTCGTTATTTTCTGTTTACACAAACAACAGGAACGCTTATCAAAGTGCCTGAGAAGAAGTGCTAGTTTAACACTATCCCTGCTGAACGTTTCCTGTCACTGCAATGCGCAGTGCCTCAATATTGTAAGAGCGAAATACGACAGTAATCTTTACCGAGCAGTCTTGTTTTGTTTGTCTGTCAGGGTTGAGATCTCAAATCGTTTCGTTATTTGCTCGACCAGGTCCTATGCTCTGCTAGTCATCTTTGTGAAGCCATTCCAAATAAGGATATCGATCTGATTGGATGTCGAGTTTCCATCACAAGGGACACAGCTTGAGCCAAGAAAATTACCCTCGAAATGGAAAGGGTGGATACTTGGATTTGATATGGGCTAGTGTACACTCTTGCCTCGAGAGGATGTGCTGATTGTGGCGTAAATAAAAGCGACAACCGCATGTCCCTAATCATATAAAATCTCTTGAAATAACCACTGGCTGACCTAATTGTATGGAAAAATGAAATGTCATCTAAGTTTTTATTGTTGTTATTGGCAAACATATTATCAAGGAATCAAAACAGTGATTGGGGTGAGATAAATTACAGCTTGATATGGGGAATTCTATTTGTGTACTATTCAAGTTGTAGATGAACTAATTTCGATGTGATAAGTATTACCAATGTTCACCAAAGAACCAAGGACGGTATATTTTTGTTGCTATATTGCATGAGCATGTTACCTTTCCAACATTTTATTTGAAAGCTATTTACCCATTCCCATTAAATCAACTTTAATGTCATGGAGTGACATAGTCGCAAACGCAAACATGTCGATCGTGTGGTTATTGAATTGTAATATACAGGTGTGCTTGACTTTAGTATTAACATTCCAATCGATAGCATTTATATCTGCGATCTGTCAGCGTTAACGTTTACTGATTGTGCAGTTAACTGTAATTCTGAAGTGTGGTTTTGTGAAAGAAATGCCTTCCATTTCAAAGTACATGGCAACAAATATATAGTGTGGTATAATACATTTACATTCAAGGCGGTTGACATGAAAAATCTAATGGTGGAGGGCTTGTTTACAACATTTAAAGTAGACAGTTAACAGTCCTGAGACTAAGACAGAAACAAACTATTCTATGAATGCTTCGCCTGTTTTTTGCAGAGGTGGAAGTCAGTTGCTTGGATTTTGAAGAGTGAAATTAGTTCAAATGCATTGGTGATTGTTGGTTCATCTATAGCCACATCCTGTTTAGCTTCTGTGTGCACGTGCAACACGTGCTGTTCATGCATGATGTGAAATTCCATTATGATTAGATGTTGCATTCAAATCCAACGCAACGGTATTATGTAAACCTCAACGATAGCTACATTCGAATCAGTACATGTAGTTCCTTTTTTGTTGGTATTATATACTCATAAAGCTGTAGCTATTGGAATAGTGATATTCTCATACCAAAATCTTCTTTGTCTAGTACCATGAGAATCCAGTATCACTTTGTGTATTGACGGCTTTAGATTCTTTATCCATTGTATTTTTAATTTTTCTTTTTTATGACCAATATTCAGGCAATATGTAAGTAGATATAAAAAAAAACGCAACAAAGTCACATTTAACTAAACGACTTTAATTAATAGTTTTACATAATTCACCTGTCGCAGGCAACAGATGAAAGCCATTAATGTATCAAATTACAAGCATATTCCAAAACAGTTTCTGACGTGTAATGATAGTGAATTCCTCATTAAAGATATGCGCATCAATGAAATGCTCACTTTTGGCGAACATGTGTTCGGCGTGGTAATAGAGACTTCAGTGGCAGAATAAATTCATGACCTTCAGTTTTATAACCATGCTGGTACTCCTTCTTTGATGGTTTCCAGTCAGAAGCAGGTCGCAATGTGAAGAGGAATCTCTGAAATGACAGAAAATTAAAAATATAGTTGGTAAAACAGAAGAAGTTCGAGAAACTGAAGAATTCAATGATTACAGTGGCAAAACAATGATCAAATAGTATTTAGCATCTTGGAATAAATAAGACTTTACCCAGCGTCCAGAGTAAGTGCATATTTCCCAAAAGTTAATAAATTATTCTCAATTATTTGTGAACACATAATTAATATTTTAATTTGTATAATCAATGCGATTAATCAAAATTGGACACTGTTGACGAACACTTATTTCTGATGTCAGAATTTTATGTCAATCAGAAAGGTGAAGAAACTTTAGGCCAGTACAATTCAACCAGGCACCACATTTCATACCCTCAATATATACTTTGCTATGACTGATGCTGATTTTCTTGAAAATATTTGTTTTTTAAGAAATGATCTGGAATATGTTAACGTTCTAAAGGTATTTTTACTGTGAAATATTTGTGCAGGCTCTCCTATTTTGGCACCTGGTAACAACTATTTGTGTGCATGCAAGCATAATTAATCAACAGTATTTCGTATTTTACTGCGAATATTACAGATATGAACATACAAATGACCTGAAACAACAAAAATTTTGTTGCAATGTGTTTTTATTTGATGTTTTTGCATTTTTGTCTCCCCCTGGTACCTGGTGCCTGGTGCTCCGCATTAAGGGGAGTCAGTATACAGTATATGTGTGGGATAGTCATGGTAATATATAAACTTCAGCATGGTACCTCAGTGGGCTAGCAATATAAAGTCGGTATTAGTCTGGAATAGTACAAGCAGCCAAACACAAACACACACACACACACACACACACACACACACACACACACACACACACACACACACACACACACACACACACACACACACACACACACCGCGTGCATGCACGTCGCTATATAAGTGCCACATTCTTGAACGCGACGTTTAACCCCATTTGACCTCATCTCACCCCACACAAGTTACAATTCTAATATAAAGTCATGCGTCTGTAAGGCGGTCTTTGTAGGAGCAAGACAAACGATCAGAACAAGATACATCAGGTTACAGCCAGACCAAGTTGTATATCTGGCTGGTCTCGGGTAGCTCACCTCCCACAACGTGCCCTTGGCTTTGCTCAGCTCCAGCACCATGAAGAAAGGCAAAGGAATTATAGGCAGCATAGCGAATACAAAGCCGATGGCACGAGCTATCACTGGATATGTGTACCCATCGTAGGTTGGCATCTGATAGGCACTCAACGTGACGATAAAGATGGTCTGCAACATGCATAATATGATAAACATTAAGTCAAGATAGGCGCTCACGTTGACGACAGAAATATCAAACACACTGTCATTGTCGTGTTACAAAAGAAAATTAGGAAATACAAACTTTCTTTCTTTTCTTTTCTTACCAACATGATGAGCGGGGTAGAGATGCACCAGCAGAACTTCATTAAGATCCCAGGACGTCTCCCCAACATCAGTTCTATGTCTCGGCCAAACCTGTCCACACCTGGCAATTTTTGTTAGGTAAACGTTTCATTCTGACAAATGAACTTCATGTACATCAACAACTGCATGCGTGAATCAAATGAAACAATACTGTACAACATAATCTGTTGTTATAAATAAAGTCTACACATAAACTACAACAACACAGCAACACACTCAAGGTTACTGTTATACCCATCCTTCTGTTATCTTGACAGGGGTGCTACCAACTACCACATCTCAGGACTGCGCAAGTAGAGGTACGACAGTAACAAGCAATGGCTGCTTTTCACAAAAATACGTTAACCTTCACATGTTATCTGTATTTGAAGGAGTGGAGGAGGATTTGTCATGATCCACGCAAGTTGCATGCCTGTAGAATAAACCACGACTCTGAAATTGGCTGTATCATGATATGTACAAAATGGGTTACTCAATTGCATTTGGTAGAATTTGATACAAAAATACTATTTGGAAAAGTCAAAATTACTGGTCATTACATTCGTTGCGAGGGGTTATTACAAGATGAACTTCATAAAAAACACATGCAGATGAGTGAAGCATTGTTCTGTTTGTAATGGACTGTAATGCACACATGGTGACTGATATAACGAATAATCCCTGTAAGTGAGTTTGTATTCAAATATTTACCATAAATCCAACCAATTACGATACATTCCAGGAAGGAGCAGACAAACAAACAGAATGCTGTCGTGAACCAGTCCATCAACTGGAAGATGTAGATTCCTCCCTGGAAATACAGGTGTCAAATATGGTCAAGAGACTCAAATCATTTAGAATAAGAACTGCTTCAGAGTGAACATTCAAATTAATATTGCCAACGTGTCGGATTTTGGTATTCTACAACTTATTGAAATTCAATCACACAACACAGGACAGGTAAACTCCATTATTTCTGGGAGTGATTACAAAGGAGCGATAACCTGGGGGCCATTACCCCGAACTGCAGTCGCATAATAAAATTTATAGGGTATTTTTAAATTTTGCCGCAAATAGAACCCTCATGTTAACTGACACGGGTCAAAAACTCTACTGTAATAGTCGTTCATATTATCCTTCATAATCAGTCACATTGACCTGACTAATCTGAATTACATTTAAATTGGACTGTGAGAAACTATCCCAGTAACTTGTCCAGATCCTCTATGGTCAATCATGACTCGATCGTCGACTAGATTAAGGCGAGGTCTGTTTGTATGTTAATACTGAAAGATAAATATCTGACCTTAAATTTGCATCTATATCCGTACATTTCCTCAACGGATTCTGTTTTCTTCCATTGGCGTTTTCATACCCAGTATGTGATAATTAGATATCTAGAATAATGTACTATTGTCTCGCTTTGAAGTAAGTTTTCAAATTGTTAATCAGGCCCTTCAGTTGACTCACATTCATTGTGATCGGAAGGCCAAGCAGGAAGAAGGTCATAGACACGCCTGCGGTGACTAAAGTCCTGTATTTGCTCAGGCGTCGTGGGAAGGCGTCCATGATGCCGACTACAAGGTTCTCAACCATCCCAAACTGCAAACACAAACACTGTATGTCAGTGGTGGTGTCAGGAGATAAACTGTATGAGACAACAGTGTGTGTCACTACAGATGGTATCAACGTTATATGTTTGAGTTTTGAATTTGGGGTTTTGTTATATTCGTGGGGTAGTAGTCTTATGTCATGCACATACCATGCTTGTGCCATGTTATATCCAGGGAATGCAGGCACTGCTAGATGGAACCCATGGAGATTCCTGGTCCGAATGTATGTCCCCAGCAAACTATTCTTGTCGTAAGGGACGACTAAATGGATCAGGTTCGGTGACAAGGTTGATTGCATGTCATGATATCCAAACTGAGTTGGCCTATTCTCATTATGTCAATCACTGGATTGTCTATTCCAGACTGATTATTTACAGACCACCGACATGTCGTTTAAAGAGTATCTCTCAACATTATCTACTATCTATTTAAATTCTATATTTCATGATGACAAAATAATACGTAGCGAACCCCATTTTTCGCCCTATCAATATTTGATTATGTGATCATGAAACGCAAGAAGTCACTGACATGATCCAACGAATAAGCCCCGTGTGTTTACTGAACCTTACCTGAATGATGAGTTATTCATTTGACTTGAATGAGATACAAAAGTCATCGTGCGCATAACATAAAGCATTATGTAAATGTGTGCTGCGTGGATCAGTGAAATGATGTCGTGAATACGTTAAAAATAACTCTTTACACATGACTTCAATGCAGCTTTACTTATTTATATTGATAAGCAATTGATGTTTCAGCTGTGACTGTTCGAAGCAAGCAGGCGAGTTGTTTTTCTCCTGAGGAAGTGTTGTGACTAAATGTTCTCCTTGATATCTGTAGCATTCATATGCTACCCCAGCTTGACGATATTGAAGCATGCACTGTTCTTGGTCTTGTGTATCTATTATTAAAATGTACCTGTGCTTCATATAAGAAAACAAATTGAAATAAATAATGCATTTCTCATAACATGTTCATGAAGACTTCCCCTTGACTTCAAGAGCGTAATTCACAATGTACAAGTGCTTGTATAAGCACTTTCGTTTACTACCGTCATGTCACGACTTGTTGAAAGCAACGACCTAAAGGGATTGGTATGATGCAAACAGGAATGGTGCAAAACGAAATTGCCACACATTTTAATGTTCATCGAAAAACAATATCATCGCTTTAGATACGTTATCTACAGCAGGGCAACACTCATAACTTGCAACGGGCCGGTCGTCCACGTGTGAGGTCACAACAACAAGACAGCCAAGGTTCAAGACAAGGTTGGTGCATCTTCGGAATCGATACCAAACTGGCACATTAATAGCTCGGACAATTCCTGGAATGAGTCAAACTAGTGACAGAACCGTAGGCAACAGGTTGACGACATACGGTCCCGACATCCACCCATACGCCCTAATTTCCTAATGTAAGACACTACCGGAGGGTCTATTTTGTTCAGTTTGTTTGCCTGTGTTTCTATGTTAGACACTGCTGGAGTGTCTATTCGGTATTATTGTGTGCCTATTTTCCCAAGGAGCACAACATACGGTCCCGACATCCCCCGATACGCCCTAATTTCCTAATGTAAGACACTACCGGAGGGTCTATTTTGTTCAGTTCGTTTGCCTGTGTTTCTATGTTAGACACTGCAGGAGTGTCTATTCGGTATTATTGTGTGCCTATTTTCCTATGTTAGACACTGCTTGAGTCTCTATTTGGTATATTATGTTTGCCTATTTTCCTATGTTAGACACTGCTGGAGTGACTATTTTGATATTTTGATTGCCTATTTTCCTATGTAAGACACTGCTGGAGTCTCTATTTGGTATATTTTGTTTGCCTATTTTTTCTATGTAAGACACTGCTGGAGTGTCTATTTTGTATATTTTATTTCCCTATATTCCTATCTAAGCCACAAGTGGAGTGTCTATTTGGTACATTGTTTTGCCTATTTTCCCATGAAAGACACTTACGGAGTGTCAATTATGTATATTTTGTTTGCCTATTTTCCTATGTAAGACACTAGCGGGGTGTTTATTTGAAATGTTATGTTTGATCAGTTGGTTTAGTTTGTTTGATGATATATTTATGTTAGTCGAATAATAACTCTTTGTTTCATCAAATACTAGTGTTAGTGTTGGACCCCACCTGAGTGTCGAGGCCCAGCATGATCAACATGAGGAAGAAGAACACGGCCCACAGCTGGGGTAGAGGCAATTTGCCGATCGCTTCAGGGTAGGCTACTAATGCTAGACCAGGGCCTGAAACAATTCCATAGAACAATATTTCATTACCAATATACAGCTGGTGCCTCAACGGACTTAAAAAACACTGAATGTTGTTTCTCAGCTGGGTCAAACTGATATTTCTACATTCATTACGTCAGCATTTATGATCTTTACAAGGATGTGTTGTGACTTGGAATGTCATACATATGCCAAAGCGACCTACCTTGTGTAGCTATATCTGTGACGCTAACGTTGGCCTCTTTGGCCATGAATCCAACCACGGAGAAGACGACAAAGCCACTGTAGAAGCTGGTCAGACCATCAGCAAGACTAACTATGATGGAGTCCCTGGGTTGAATAACGTGTACACATGTATGCATCTTCACTGGCACACAACATTCAACTTAGTTAAAAACCTTCACGATTATATTATTGTGCGTGAAGGAGTCATCCGCGTATCCTATGTCTAGACCTTTTGCGTTGTTGTTCTTTAACACCACATTTAGCAATAATCCAGCAATATGAAAGCGGTCTGTAAATATTCCAGTCTGTACCAAACAATCCAATGACATTGAGAGCTACGATCCATGCTGTGTATGCGGAGTATGATGACACACTATCAAACAAGTCGTCGAGTCTGACCACCCAATCCATTAAGCCTCTTACGGCCAGCACAGGTTTGATCTGGAGACCCTTTCTTACCCGGAATCTCCACGTGGTCTTTTGTGTCCTATTAGTAATGATCTCTGGATATGACAGTATTGTGTGGATAGATGCAGACATGCAGTATTCCCTTACTCGTATACAGGTGTGTATACCTGCACGACAACATGAACCTACCTGAAGCAGTTGTTGTTGAAGTCATTGAAACTAGACATAGTCATTATCGATCCCCATGCTGGACCAAGGGAGAAAAACACCTGTATAGCTGCCTCGATCCACACCTGTACAAATGCATTTGATCACAATTATATTTGTTTTTAATCAAATTCAACATTGATATTTCTAACATGTACCGGTGTGCCCTGGTAATGAATATATATATGTCGATTTCCTGTACACATATAATCTATACTAATATGAAGAAACACATGCATTCATATTGTCAGGTGAGACAGTGTGTACATGTCTGCTCAGAGAGTACGTAAATCAAACAAATTACACCATATATGTCCCTCCTCTTCAACCCTGACTTTGTGGTTGAATAAAATTCAAAATACATCACGCACATAAACAGTTTTCAATTTCCTCTTCTGTGATATCATCCACTGTCATTTTAGGCAAAGTAAAATTACTGAAAGTGACCTCTGAAAATTAGGTACATCGTAAATCACGCTAAATCACCATTCGGGGCGTTATTTTTTGTGTGTCTAGAAATCTATATGTCGGATATTTTCTCGAAGAATTTAATTCTAAATACAGCATATTAATGATCTCGGGTATCTGCTTTCCGTCAAATCACTAATGATAATTCTGAAACTTCGACGACAAGCCTAGAATCGTTTAGAATGTTTTGAAAAATACGCAAACACGAACGCCGACATATACGTTTCACCATATTGGATTGTGTTGGAACGATTTCACAAAATCACGTGTCACGAATGCCGGTTATAAGACGCCTATTAGATCACGTATATTTCAAACTCAGTTGCCATAGATGCATCCTTTAATATCCCATATATTTTAGAATTAAATGACAAATGGTCTTTGTCACCAATGCAAAGTATCTGGGTGAAATCAAGCGAAATTAATTTGGTGTGGAAACGAACAGAGTGCTCGGAAAACTGGACGAAGCAAAACTCAGATTTTACACAATTTCTCATATTGTGAGAGATCCATTCGTCTGATTGTTGCATACATTTGCTCACGCGTTTGGGAATATTTATTGGAAAATTATCGGAGCACGAATTATGGAATTACAAATATATACATTACAATGATCAGGTAAATTCAACAGAAATCGTAAAAGTTTCCGTCCTCTGTAAGGCCATGACACGCAAAATCACGCACAACGTCGACTTTAGTTATCTACATTTCTGACTAATTCTCTTCGTCGCACTGGAAAATATAAAACAAATAACAGTATGCAGATGGACTGATTGTTTCTAATTACGTACATGACACATTTATGTAAAATCCCTTAATCAACGAAAATTCTCCTTTGAAAATCCCGTCTCTGTTGTCAGTGAACACGCCATTTTGTAAAAGTCGGGCACCGGTAGTGATGCCATACGGAAGTAAACATTGTTGTACATTTTCGTTCATTTCTTTGAGGTGAAAATATTTAACTCGGCATCAAGCGTGTTCCTTTATCTGATATATATAGTTTGCATTATCATCTTCGCCTTGATAATCAACAAATGTGGCGGAAACCATTTTGAGTTGCGTCACAATATTTATGAGAAGCAGCACATCGGATTACAGCACTCATGCCCGTGGGGTATGTATAACTGCGCGCCACTGTGATCAAAAGAATAGATAAACTGCATCGATTCGATGCTTCAAAGGTGCGATTTTAGGAACAGATTACTGCACTCGTGCCCGTCAAATACCTTTCGCTCGTTAGATACGTTTTGAATCAACTCGTTGGAAGATAAATGGCAGACACTCGTGTAGTAATCGCCATATATGGGCACAGCATTCAGGGGTATTAAATTGCAGAGATGGCCCATTCATCACATCCTACGACTGTGTGTCCGAATCAAGGATTCGTCCTGATTATGATCCTTGTTCATGGGGGAATCCTTGTTCACGAATGTTGGAAAAGTCTAAGACCTTAAACACTTTCGGGTTTTCTCCAATAGTAATCTGACGCGCCAGGGCTGTTGTTCAAATACATGCACCCACTCGAAAAAATTATTTTGGAGTCCTATTTAAACTCACACTGAAAGTTGCAAGTCTGGAGAATTCAGGGTAGACATAGAACTTGATTCCATCCACAGCCCCGGGTAGCAATACCCCTCTGATCAGCAGAATAGTCAGGAGGAGATACGGAAAGAGCGCCGTCACATAAACCACCTACAATCATATATCACATGTACCATACACCATTTTTAATTATATAATGCTGTGTATCACACTCCATCTTCAATCATATATCACATTGTGTACACCACATACCACCTTCAATCATATGAAAATAAAAGCGACAAAGCCAATTTCATAACCTTAAGAAATATCTCATAAAGTCCATTGTACGATTCCGGCTATTTCGTAAACATGTGTTTATGAATCACTAACATCACTGATACCTGGGGCTCAAGAAAACGCGACCAAATCGTGCGTCAGCAGTGGCACCCTGAACCTGTTGCTGGAAAATTTCTTGACATAAAGGGAGAGTTGAGTATTAGAAAGTTGAAAGCAGATGAGGAGGTTTCATGGTCTTTTATTCCCAGTTCAGGTGGGTAAAATAGTGGACAGGAATTGGCTATTTGACCATTATTTAATGGTATCAGATCATCGATATACCTTATATGGAACGTCTGGGCAAATTCCCGTAGTTTAATTTTGACAATCCTCGCAACGATTCAGATTCATTTGCAGAACAGATCAGCAATGAGTGGAGCATAATTGTTAAGTGCCCATCTGGATACCTACCTAACCCCAAATTTCACATGGACGTAGTCAACGAAGAAGCCCAGCATTTCATGCTGTCTCCTTATTGTAAACTTAAGATGACATTCGTTTCAATTTTTCACAATAACCGTGGATACACTTGTCTATAATGTTTGATCGTGGCAAATACAGTTGAAAAGTCATGTGTGTCTTGACAGAAATGAAGTTGGTTTGTTTCTGAGATTTCAAGAGTGCACGTTGTATTTATTCTGTGAACAACGGCGTTCAACAGGTTGATCTTCTGGCATATGCTTCAACAGCACCAATACAAAATGGTGTTAATTTAGGAAAGTGAAACTGTTGTTGGTTCCTGCAATTTCAAATATTGTGGGACATTTAGGGAAACTGATTTTCATCATTTATTGTAACTGTTTATTTCAAATTCAGGAACATGTGGTCACTTTTCTGATTTGGTGATACGATGGGTGAATAATGTTTGGAGGTCCATCTGTCAGCAAACATTTGATTTTTTTTCAGTCACACATTGAGGATCCTAACCAGATACGATTTTTTTCTGATGAATGATCGTACATTGCCTGTAAAACTACCCTCCAAACATCGACAAATCCACATGTTATGAATAAGAAATTTGGGTCTAACGCCTCTTTGAACAGTATTCCAGTTACATCATGGCGTCAGCTTGATATGGGAAGAAAGTCCGAAGTGAAGCACGTCACAGACGTTGGCCACTTTGGTTAAACCAATGAGCACGGGTATTGTGCTGACATCCTGGAAACAAATCGGGGCGAACCGGGATTCGATCATAGGTTTCTAAGGTGCCAAGTGACGCAACCCTGCAAGCGAATGTCGGCGCCTTAGACGATTGGGCCAACCGTCTCCCCTTTTTGTTTAGAAAAACTGCCCGAGTCTTGTACATATATTTTGTCATTGCTTCCATATGGTATTGCTATGGTGTTCTCTTCCTTCAGATAAGTCACAAATGATATGTGAACAGAAATGAACACACAGAGATACCGAAGTGATCAACAAATGAAAGAAGCTTCTGCACAGTACCACATTCCCGGTTTTGCGCCGTAACAAAAGACACATTCAACGTGCAGAAGTTGTTTGATCAAGTTTACAACATTCAAGGCCTCGGTAAAGCGTTCAAAAGGTTTTATGGTAGACATGTGGAGGACATTTCTAAATTTGACGCATCAGTGTTAAAAATGATGACCCATGCAATTCCCTATTTTGACTTAAACCATATGTTCCCATATGGTTTTTTTAGGTGAACAATTGACTTGCCGTTGCATGTGATTGTGCCGGGTGCCACCGGTGGGGCAGGATACGCTCTCATTTTCGCGAACATATGGTATCATTATTGTTTGATAGTGATTCATAAACACATGACCATGATGTAGTCGGAATTGTACAATCGATTCTGCTTTACGTAGAGATTTCTATTGGATAAGGTTAGAACACGTCCCATTTTAATTCTGGAAACCCAAAAGTCCAGAAACTCTACGCTCTTTGCCCAGTCTCGGTTAAAGGTATTTACAAAATTAAACATGCCGTTTTCATGGGAACATACCAAGGAAGAAAAAATGAAAAAAAAATTGTTTAAAAACTCAATATTTAGACTATGTCGCCCATGGGCCTGCCCATGGGCGAAGTGTGGCCCATGGGCGAGAATATGTTCCTTGACTTAAAACTCATGTTTTTGTTTCGCAAATACATTTAATGTATTCATTCAAGTATCATGACACAAAATTTAACTCATTTTAACTTAATTCAACGATTTTATAGCGATATTGAAATATTTCGCCCATGGGCGAGAAAAAGGTTTGGCCCATGGGCGAGAATATGTTCCTGTACTTAAAACTCATGATTTTGTTTCGCAAATGCATTAAATGTATTGAAAGAAGTATCATGACACAAAATTTAACTCATTTTAACTTAATTCAACTATTTTATAGCGATATTGAAATATTTCGCCCATGGGCGAGAAAAAGGTTTGGCCCATGGGCGAGAATATGTTCCTGTACTTAAAACTCATGATTTTGTTTCGCAAATGCATTAAATGTATTGAAAGAAGTATCATGACACAAAATTTAACTCATTTTAACTTAATTCAACTATTTTATAGCGATATTGAAATATTTCGCCCATGGGCGAGAAAAAAGGTTTGGCCCATGGGCGAGAATATGCTCCTTTACTTAAAACTCATGATTTTGTTTCGCAAATACATTAAATGTATTCATTGAAGTATCATGATACAAAATTTAATGAAAAAATGAAAAAAAAATGTTCAAAAACTCAATATTTAGACTATGTCGTCCATGGGCCCGCCCGTGGGCGAAATGTGGCCCATGGGCCTGCCCATGGGCGAAGTCTGGCCCATGGGTAGGCCCATGGGCGAGAATATGTTCCTTTACTCAAAACTCATGTTTTTGTTTCGCAAATACATTAAATGTATTTATTTAAGTATCATGACACAAAATTTAACTCATTTTTAACTTAATTCAACGATTTTATAGGGATATTGAAATATTTCGCCCATGGGCGAGAAAAGGGTTTGGCCCATGGGCGGGAATATTTTCCTTTACTTAAAACTTATGTTTTTGTTTCGCAAATACATGCAGGTGTTCTTACTATTTTCATGGCACATAATGTAACTCAATTTTACTCAATTCAGCTATTTTACAGATTTATTGAAATATTTCGCCCATGAGCGAGAAAAGGTTTTGCCTTCGAAATCCTTGATTATTATATCATGCCAGAGTTCTGAAATTCAATGACAATGTTGCTGAACAGTAGAATCTGATAGACGTATTGTGCAGAACCTGTTTGACACTATGGGTTCCAGGACCACTAACACTCTGAGCTGAAAAAGTTTGGTCCTAACCGCACCCAACATCTTTAATGAACCCGGCCTTATCTCTCAAAACCTTTTGGCAGTTTATCATACGAATTCATGTGCGTGTACAACATTAAATTTTGGTTAGTTTCTATTTCATTTCCCATTTTATGACCCGTTGATACATCCCACTGTGCAATTACGTGACAGGTACGCGTGCGCGTATTTTAATGGAAAGAAACTATTCGTCTTTTATTGCATAACGTTTGGCTGAATATCTTACATTCTAACGAAATCTCGAAATAATTATTTAATTACAAGCAGTGTCGAACTGACCAGTAGGAATTATGTTTCAATGCGATTGAGGAAAACGTGAGTGAATATTGTGACACTAAAGCAACTTTTAACTGCATTGTCACTTTTGGTATGAAAATGGTAATAGTTAAGAAAAACGTAACAGCCTTCTTATGATAATTCTCATATTCTCATTAGTACGTTGTGTCTAATTACAGTGTCGGCCTTATTTACAGGTGATTCTACAATACTTGTTGTCGGTCAATTACAATCTACCACACCACGCGTGAATAAACAGTTATGCAGGTGTTGCTGTGGGCAAATACCTAGCCTGTACATGTATATTTTTGTGGATACATGTATTACATATTTTCGTTGATATGTGGATATATTAAGCACCAAGGCACAAAAAGTTTATGAAAGATGAATTTGTGCCTTGATATATATATTCAACGCGAACGAAGCTTGTATTTTCTCCGCGATCCTGATGTGTATCATCGTTTAATTGGTCATTCATTAAAAGTATGTTGTGAGGCGATATCAAAGGAGCCGCTCAATATACACAGTGTCGTCCGTTTCGCGTGAACTACCACCCTACCCTGTCAGTAAGAGTTATGTAATCGGTACACAAATATATTTGGTGCGATGTCAGTGTGGAAGGAGTTTGAATTACGTCCGCCAGTGGCCACAGAAAGTATAGTACCACAATCAACAAGGCCAATGCCGTACTAATAACCTAGTGACTCTCGTAACAACGGCTGTCAATATGTCTGCTACATCTACCATACCATCATCCCTGTCACAACTGGCGTATTAACGGTTTATTCAAAAAGGTATTGTAGAAATGTCGTTACCAGACTAACGTACGTCGTATTCAGTCCTCAACTGGATGTCACATTCCTTATATCAGTTAACAGCCCTGTTTGGGAAAATATTTACTAGACATAAGATTTAAAGACTAATAAAATCAATTGTAAGACCGCATAGACCATAAAACCGAATAAAATATGTCTTGGTATCATCTCTTGTGTATTAGATGATGGCAATGACCGGAAATGTTATAACGTTAGATTAAGAAGGAGAAACATTAAAGTGTTTTACAATACTTGGAAACATGAGCAATAAGATGTAGCAACATAAACATGCATGGAATAGGGGAAAAGGATGAAAACAAATTGAAAAGGATTTTAATACAAAATTATCGAACTAAATATCTTGCCTGAACAGAAGGGGTACCCAAACTTGTTTGACAGTTATTCGTGTGTTGTAGACTGTCGAATGGGACTCATGTGTGTACGTAGGGTACGCATATCTATTGCAAGTTTTAGTACTCATACACTTTCTCTTTTTGTGTTTTGTTTGTTTGTTAGTTGTATAACGCCACACTTAGCAACATTTCAGCTGTATGACGGCGGTCTGTAAATAATCGAGTCTGGACCAGACAATCCAGTGATTGACATCATGTGCATCGATCCACGCAATTGGGATACGATGACATGCATCGACCAAGTCAGCGAGCCTGACCACCCGATCCCGGTAGTCGCTTCTTACGACAAGCGCTGTCGCCCTTTTACGCCAAGAATGGTCTGTTGAAGATCTTCACGGGTCTATTGAATGCAGGGATTTGTGTAAAGTCATCAGACAGCATACAATGCAACTAAAAAATTATACTCAGTGTCTCCGCAAAGTAATATAGTACGGTACTTAGAGTACATGTGAGATTATACTCAGGTTAGGGAGATGTTTAATCCATATAACGTGTTATTATTCTACCTTAAAATGTATTTAATGAAATGAATGCAAAACAAACTCAACGGCTAAAAGGTTTCATTGAAAAAACTACCCCTAGTCTTGACTAATAAAACAACTGCAACCCGACACAGATTAAACGCAACTTACAAACACAATCATAATCTGGTAAGTCTGTATCACTCAACGAGGCCGCTTACTCTGCCCACAGTATGACAGTATTGGGCAGTTCAGTAATTAGGAGCCAAAACCAGGCAGGTACGCTGGTCACACTTGACTGGTCTGACTGATGATTAGGTCGTCTGACAATTGGGAGTGAACCATAGCAAGAAGTATCTGCGAAACTATTTGCTCCTTTTATGGGACCGATTAGTTTTATGACCATGGGCCTCGGCACAAGCGTGGTGTTGGAAGGTATACATGTACATCCGATATGGTGACTGTTTTTCGCTATTCATATTCTAAATACATTCATAATAACACAACATTTTAGTACTCCTTGAAACTTTACAATCACTTCAATATGTACAATAGATTGAACGAGAACACTTGATATATTGCAGATTATTAAATCATTGTCTCTATTATCAGCCGCTACTTTTGTATCGTTTGCATTGTACAAAGAAATATTTTATCTGTCCTTTTGCAGATTTAGCCTCAGAATGTGCTCATTCGAATTAGGAACGAAAATAATTGCTTATCATGAGTATATATGATACAGTTAAAAGTTACTTGTACACTGTAGACGTATTCACTTTAAAGTCGCATACGACCTTCGCGAGCGAGTTGAATGATCCAGGTTAATTCGAACGAAGTCTAGAAAGGGTTATAAAGTTTTGTATTTGGTAATGTGTAGGTTTGTTAAATATAATTTTTTAAATTCCTTTTATTTCAATATGTAAAAACATAACTATGCGCTTAAAAACAGAGCTGACTTGATGGGAGATAGCCACCTCAGATTGTCTGTTGGACACGGTTTAACCTTACTGTGTCCTCACCCTGGTTGTTGTTACCGTTGTTATAAGGGATTAAGAGCTACAGCTCATTGCATTTTTGGTTACAGTCTGTATCACTAAAGTGGACATGTGCAGGTGAACTCTGTTCAATTAGTAAATGAAATGCCCCAAAATGTGAACTCCAGACAATAATAACCTGAGGGTAAATCCACGTGCGTCTGCCTTTCCCCTCGTTCACCTTCGAAATCTTTGATTATTATATCATGCCAGAGTTCTGAAATTCAGTGACAATGTTGCTGAACAGTAGAATCTGATGGACGTTTTGTGCAGAACCTGTTTGACACTATGGGTTCCAGGACCACTAACACTCTGAGCTGAAAAAGTTTGGTCCTAACCGCACCCAACATCTACAAGTTTGTAAGCTTGTAGACATCATTAAGAAGTAATGAACAGTCCCATGCTGAGACCTTTCTCAAAATTCAGACCGGTGGCAGGCTGCCAACAAAGAGAAGAAAATATCGCAACCCCGACACGAGTGTGCTCAGTCAAACAATGAACTAACGACCGGCAGAAAACAACTCCAGTTGAGTATGCCGATGCTGTATCTCAGCCGTGTTGGCCTGAAAATTTAAACATGCTAATTAAATCCAAAATCGTATAATTATTTTTAATAGAAACCGTATCTTAATTTGTTCTTGCACTGCATCATATCGTGTATTTCATCTGTATATGTGTAATGTGTATATGTATCAATGACTACACTTATACCGCATATTCTGCAACAGACTATAATTAATCACCTTATTATTGCACTAATACCCTTTTTAACAGTGGACACCGATATCAGTATACATGTAGGCTTTTTGTTCAAAAAGGAATATGCAGGAAATTATATGTAACAATTCACTGTGTACTAATTACATGTTTGAATGTTATCAGTTTTACGTTCTGAGATACAGTGATGTAAGCATCTTCTAAAATCTTCTAAAAACATAATAAAATACAAAACTCTCTGCCGTAATTTTTTGTGGAAATCATTCGATCAAGTAAAAATGACTGCGTGACAAGACGAATCAACTATTTATACCCGATAAAAGAAACTGCCGTATTTTAGGAACAGTGCTATAACAAGACATTTGAAATTTCTAACAAGCAGATACATTAGAGACAGTGACTAGACTTCAGGTACGTAATCCGTATCAATCAAAGGTGTAAAAAAACTGAAAATCATATCTGTCGGAGACCTACCAAATTACCAAGTTTTATCATTACTATATTTATTACAATGCAAATACTTTAGTGATAGATTTTGTAGAGGAGAGGGCATACACACAAGTATATTGCTTCCGTGTGTGAATGCAGGTTGTACTTGGTATCTCAGTTCTCAGTTTCATACCGGTTGTATAACTGAATTTGTATATGGAACCATGCGTACAGCATGACAATTACTTGCTATTCGTCAGTTTACAACACACATAACACGGTCAAACATTTTTAGGCACCGCTTTTGCGAGTTATTTAGTACAATAATGTTTTATTAAAATCTATTTCAATTTGTTTTCACCATTTTCCCTATTGACAGTCGTTGTTACGTACGTCACTAGGTAATTAGTACGGATTGACCTTGTTTATTGTTTCTATACTTTGAGGATTTCTGTGGCAAGTGGCGGACGTAATTCAAACTCCTTCCGCACTGACACCGCATCAAATATATTTGTGTACCGATTACATAACTCTAATGGACAGGGTGGGGTGGTAGTTCACCGGACGACACTGTGTATATTGGGCGGCTCCTTTGATACCTCCTCCAAACATACGTTTATTGAATGACCCCATTAAACGATGATACACATCTCGATGAATATATCAAGGCACTAATTCATCTTTCATAAACATTTTTTTGTCTTTGTGCTTAATATATCCACATATCAACGAACATTTGTAAAACATGTATCCTAAAAAAAATAAACATTTTCAGGCTAGGTATTTGCCCACAGCAACACCTGCATAACTGTTTATTCACGCGTGGTGTGGTAGATCGTAATTGACCGAGAGCAGGTATTGTAGAATCACCTGTAAATAAGGCCGACACTGTAATTAGATACAACGTACTAATGAGAATTATCATAAGAAGGCTGTTGTTTTTTTCTGAACTGTTACCATTTTCATACCATGCAGTTAAAAGTTGCTTTAGTGTCACAATATTCACTCACGTTTTCCTCAATCGCATTGAAACATAATTCCCACTGGTCAGTTCGAAACCGCATGTAATTAAATCACTATTTCGAGATTTCGTTAGAATGTAAGATATTCAGCCAAACGTTATGCAATAAAAGACGAATAGTTTTTTTCATTAAAATACGCGCACGCGTACCTGTCACGTAATTGCACAGTGGGATGTATCAACGGGTCATAAAATGGGAAATGAAATAGAAAATAACTAAAATTTAATGTTGTACACGCACATGAATTCGTATGATAAACTGCCAAAACGTTTTGAGAGATAAGGCCGGGTTCATTAAAGATTGCTACAATATGTAAAACAGGTGAAATTTGTAGAACTAAAGGAAACATCCAACCAAATGCCCTCTTTAAATAGTAATGTAATGATATAATATAAAGTATATACTCGCCCATGGGCCAAACCTTTTTCTCGCCCATGGGCGAAATATTTCAATATCGCTATAAAATAGTTGAATTAAGTTAAAATGAGTTAAATTTTGTGTCATGATACTTCAATAAATACATTTAATGTATTTGCGAAACAAAATCATGAGTTTTAAGTAAAGGAACATGTTCTCGCCCATGGGCCTACCCATGGGCCAGACTTCGCCCATGGGCCACACTTCGCCCATGAGCAGGCCCATGGGCGACATAGTCTAAATATTGAGTTTTTAAACAATTTTCTTTTCATTTTTTCTTCCTTGGTATGTTCCCATGAATACGGCATGTTTAATTTTGTAAATACCTTTAACCGAGACTGGGCAAAGAACGTAGAGTTTCTGGACTTTTGGGTTTCCAGAATTAATAGGGACGTGTTTTAGGGTTTTGTCGCTTTATTACCGAAGACTTGATTACTATGAAAAGCGCACTTGATTACTATGAAAAGCCCACTTGATTACACTATGGTTTAAAAATATTTCTAAAAGTATGGATGTACCTTGCCCAGCGACTTGACACCTTTAATGAGACACAGGAAGACTAACAGCCAGGAAACAAAGAGACATCCCACCAGGTGAGGCTGGAGGCTCCCCATTTCTTCCACACCGTCAGACTTGCGTAACACGTAGTACCTTAAATAGACGAGAAGGTACTACTTCATCAACACTGCATTAGACGTTCTTATTTTAATCCTGGTAAATCATGCTAAAAACTGCGTTTTGATGTAAACGTCATGTAGAAGAAAGGAGGTCATAGATACAAGTTTTATTATCAAATGTGTCAAATCAACATGCCACCATGTAGAAGTTGATGCGAAGTGGAACTTTCATGCCAAAAAACTTGGAATTTTATGCCGGATTCAGCAAAAGGTCTGGTGGAGCAAAGCTGAATTTGACATACTGCCAGAATTCTTCGGTGGCTGTTTTGGCCTCTTCTCCAGCTACAGATACATTCATCATGGAAGTGTTCCTTGAGAGGGCACTGCTTTCATTGATGACTTCCAGCAGTGAAGATGGTGTACTATTGAGCAGAGCCACAGCCATGCTGGTGTTCAGGGTAATGGCATTACCATGTACAGGACCAATACACGAGCCAGTGTTCCACCAGTTGTCACAAGTAGACCAGGGCAGTGTTGGATAAAAGGCATTTATCAGGTAAAACATATTCCATGCTATTACAGCGACATAGTAGATAGATGTTATTCCTGACACAATGCATGCTCCCCATCCTATACCTGAAATAATGGATACGAAAACGAAGTATTATATGATTCTTAAAATTGAATGTGCAGGAACTTCATGTGTAATCTAATGGACGGAGTGAGTATGGTTTTACGACGCTTTTAGGAATATTCCAGGAATATTATGGCGGTTACTCCAGAAATCGGCACCACACACTGTACCCATCTGGGGTATCGAACCTGGGACTTTGGCGTGACGAGAGCACGCTTTTGATTCTAGGATAACCCATTGCCTTTATTAATGAGGAGGAGGAGGACACGTGCACTCAAAATAATGAATCAACATGGTACACATCTTAATGAAACAGGTGATTCGTTGTAGGCTTACAAAACAAGTTATTTACAATGATCCTACCTTTGAAAAGAGGACACAACTTCCAAACGAATAGTGGACTTGTTGCGGAAAACTGCCCCAAACAGACCTCCATGTAAAACAACGGAATTCCCGTCACAAGCAGGAAGAAGAAGAATGGGATGAGAAAAGCACCTTCAAAACAATATATTTTTTAGTATTGGATGAATAACAAAAGCTTGTCATGAGTTAAACTAAGAGAGAATGCAAACTACCAGATTAGACCTGTCTCGTGGACAATGAGAGTTCAATGAGAGTTGTGGACGGATTGGATTAAAAATGCTTTTACAGTGCCTTGAATTCGTTTATATCTTTGACACTTTTGATGTTGAAGGGTTTTGTTCCAAAGCGTTGGACCAGCCTTTGCAAGACATCGGTCATCAAGTGAAATAGTTCTATTCTGGAGCACAAACACGAGCTGGCTGTTACCAGACCAGGATGATCTTACTGGTTGCTATTGATGTATGAATTCACTGAAGTAAGGTGGACCGATGTCATGAAGCGTTTAGTATACACAAGTCTTTTTTAATTTGATGCGCTTTCCGATCGGGTTACCACTCTGGCAGCTACGTTTTGAATACGTTGAATATTTGCGAGCTGGTATTTTGGTAACCCATACAGAAGGGCATTGCAATAATCAAGACGAAAGCCTAAATGAGAGATGTAGCAACGTATGGTACGGGCTGTGAGAGTTGCTGTCTGAAACCTGTGCTGAAGATGGTTGGTACGAAATCTTTGCAATACGTGGACGGTATCTGACGTGATTATTCTGTTCGATAGGCATTACTTAGAAGTTGATGGATGACAAAGTAGACACAATGTATGGATAACAACTTTTTAAATTTCTGTAAAGGCGACGTTTCGGTTTAGATCCGTATACTGTTGTCAAGTAAGACTGAATGATGAACTTGGTACAGAATACATGCAATTGTTGTTACTGTTAATCGTCCACCTACTATATATATTCTGCAGGATCTATATCGAAACGTCGCCTTTGCAGTAATTAAAGAAGTTGCTATCCATAAATTGTGTCTACTTGGTGATTCATAAAATAGTTGGCGTCCTCGAAATCCAAAACTACATGTAAAGGTTTGTCAGTGAAACATTCCACATCACAATCACTTTTGTCTTTGATCATGACTATACTGCATACTAAATGATTCTCCATATAGTATTTTAACACAGTAACCACCAGTATTCACCTGGAAAATGTTAGGCATCACTTACTATATAATTCCTTATGAACTAGCCTTGTTTGTAAACGCTGTCATGTATTAATTTTCTGACAAAACACATTGTTTTGGTTTATTTTGGGATTTTTTTATATCCTCAAATTGACATAAAAAAATGAACACGATTATCTAATCTCATTTCAGTGTCAGAAAGGATGGTTGTTGTTTTTTAACGCCGCACTAAGCAATACCCCATAAACTGCCTGGCCCAGACTCGATTATTTACAGACCGCTGTCAAACAATGTCAAACAGCTGGAGAAGTGCTGAGTCCCGTGTTAAACAACAACATAATCAGTGTCTTATACATTACAAATAACACTTACCACCGCCATTTCGTAAACATAAATAGGGGAATCTCCACAGATTGGACACACCCACTGAGTACCCAACTAGGGACAAGATGAAGTCCAACTTCCGGTCCCACTTGGCCCTTTTTGGGGTTGATCTGTCTGGGTCGGTTGTTTCACCTCCATTTATGTTTTCCTTATTAATGAAAACAGTTGTTTCTTCGTTTGATTCTTGATCCATCCTGCGAAGGGAAATAGAATAAATACCCTGACATGTCACGTCTGTGTAATATCACAAAAATACTCACACACTTGTGTAATGATACCCCCGCTGCTGATCTAAGACAGCATGAAGCTTGCGTGTCTAGTTGGTGTCGACTTCTTCTGTACCTTTGCCTTTTCTGCCAACTCGACACAGGAGTAGTGGACTGCTTAGAAGAAGGTGTGTAGTGTATTGTCAACTTACTGACAAAACCAGTAATTAAACCAGAGCGCCAGCTGGTGGTATGGGGACAAGACGCACTTCAAGCGAGCTCCAGTATAATTTTAAAACATATTTTAGCTCTAAACTATACATAAACTATAATTATAAGATGCTAAAAGATGAAAGGTACTTTATCCTGCGATAAAGTTCTAAAGTCATGGCGTTGTTCAAATTACAATCCCCGTGATATAAGGTATCCTTGGTAACATCGTTCTTTTATTACTGTCAAGCACGATGGTACATTCACATCAATTTTCTTTGAAATAGTTTCTTGAAACTTGTCAAATATTTAAAGGTTTTAACCTTTGGAAGAAATATGGCAAGATGATATCAACCATCTCTCATGCCGCATTCAAACCACTATGTCAGTGCCAAAACACACACATAATTATCCCAGGCGGGACTAGGAATTATGTCTGTCTCTGGACAAAGGAATGAGCAATGTTGCATAGCCACATGTACACCTGTTGCTCATCGCATGGCATTTGACAAAAGCCAGCAGTCTTGAGATATGACAAACTCCAAATTGATAACGATTACTACAAACTTGTAAAATGCATCCACTATATAGTAATATATATTTACCTAGTTTTTACCTTTTTCTCGTCAAAGGTTCAACTAATTGCTTTAAATATGAACATTGCTTTCATTAATCTGCTGTGAAACAACATTAAATACATAATAGCTTTAAAGTATCATGCAAACTGTTTAATAGTTATATTTCACACTATATCGTCATATGTCGCCATAGCTGTGGTCAACTATTAGACGTCCTCAAATCATATGATGCGGGTTCGAACCCTTCCGGCGGCACATGTTTTCCAAAAAAACTTGAAATATTTCAATTGTCAAAGTAAAAAAATAGTTCCATGCAAATTAATTGAAATGTTGCTGGAGATAAACAAACAATTCTCCATTCCTGAAATTAATGGACAATAGAATGGTGTCACAGATTGTTTCAATGCTTGTTCTCTTGCAATGACAATTTATATTTACCTAGAACCTCAAAGGTTTATTTAACACCAGAACTTTAGCACTACTTGACGTGACTTACAATATGTAATGGGAGGGTTCTTGCACATGCCTGGATTGGATTTTGGTTTGGTTTGTTGTTTAACGCCGCACTCAGCAATATTCCAGCTATAGGACGGCGGTCTGTAAATAATCGAGTCTGGACCAGACAGTCCAGTGATTAATATCATGAGCATCGATCCACGCAATTGGGATCGATGACATGCATCAACCAAGTCAGCGAGCCTGACCACCCGATCCCGTTAGTCGCCTTTTACCTGGATTGGAAGTTTCACAGGCTTGGCAAATGAAGACCAGAGCGTGGTTGATTAAGTCCCAGCAATGCAAAATTCACTTCCACATTTCTCATAATTTAATATTGTTGATCAAGTACAGTCAAGCAACCTTCAAGTGACATTCTCTTTTTAATGTGTATTTAATAAACCTAAGAAAGAATCATATGTTAAATCACCCTAAAACTCGATTCAGTTGGCACGAGGATAAATTAGACGTTATGCAGAACTGGCTTTAGCAGAAATTCTTAGCCAGTTATGACCGTGACACTGCATTTGGGTCGTTTGCAAACGTGATGCAAACCGGTGCTAAACCCTGTGAGAAAAAACGATGCATGTGATCATCGTTTTCCAAAGGGAGGTAACTGGTATGGTCAAGACAGTTTTGAGGCCAGTCATATCCCTTGAGCACAGTTGCGTGCTTTAAATTCTTCCAATAGTTCAGGAGACCGTCAGCAATATACAACTGCAAAGAAATACTACAAAGACCTGTGTGTCAACAAGTTAAACTACACGTTGTTTGTAATTAAGAAATAAAAGACGAGTGGTAATATTCGAACGAAAAGGTAACTTAAAGGATTCTTAAAAAGGTTTTTCCACATGCTTTATATTCACTATTAATGAATACATAGGTATATATGTTACACACTCAAGGCAGTTTGAAACAGTAACACTTCGTTAAATAGCTTGAATTTGCAATCTAAAACGGACGATCATCGAAAGCATTTGGCGATTACGTAAGATAATGAGGTAGCCAGTCACGTGATTGTGTGACGTCATACCGGACAGTTGTAGCATCAAAACACACAAGTTGCGCAACGGTGCCGCGCCGAATCGCTCTCGGAAATCTACTTTTATCTTCACCAATAATTCGACCCACAAGGTCAAAAATGGATTTGGAAGGTCTACCCCATACAGATACTGACATAGAAGTACAACCTTTTCAATTTGAACCTATTTCTGGCAGCAAGAACGACCAGAATACTGACGCCGATTCCAGCAGTTCACAAGAAAACAGTGACGATCCCGATCTCGACGGTGTATTGAATAGGCCTCACACAGACTGGTTTAAGCTAGTAATTAGCGTGCCATATATTCAGGAAAACAGATTAAATATGGAATCAATCTTTCAGCTGTCACGGTAAAATGTGTAGTCACAATTACCGCAATGTTAGACCAATAATAATATGCGAAGCCACGCCTATATATGTGGCAGTAAATGCTCAAATCGCGAGTTACAAGTAAATCGTTTCAATATAATATGTCAGACGTTTCACCTTAATTATTAAATATGTTATAAAACTTCATCTGGCTAAATATACCCAACAGAAGGATCATTCAAAATATAGCGCTTAGCGTCACTTTTCAGTCAATAGCCGAGCGTTAACACGAACGAACAACACATAGCGGACTATCTGGTATGACGTCACAGCCACAGGAGGCTGACCGCTAAAAAAAAACTATGCATACGAGTGGGCGGAGCCAAAGTGTTCTAGGTTTTGGAGCATAATTATAATAATTACGAATTATTTTCAAAAATCAACTATGCAGATTTGGTATAAATTCATGTTTGAATGGTATTCTGTAAGAAAAATGCTGTGTCCGTAGCCTTTTTAATAATCCTTTAATATTACAACATATTTAATAAGGGAAACTTTATATCAATGCAAACCCTGAGTCTTGACAACTATTCGCGGGATTTATAGTCTTAAGGTTTTGGAGAATTTCCATACACAGACTCATGGACTTTGCATGCATGTTGGAGGCAGACCCCTTCACGTTTGAGCTCTTATTGCTGTACATTGCATGAACCAAACGTTCAAAAGTTCAGGACAATTCGTCTACATTGAAATCAATAAATAAACAGTGTGTGAAATGCTGGCCTTCCTCATCAAAACTATCAATGTGAAATTTTGGGTCAGGAAATTTAGGCAAGAAGTAAGCATCCCCTTGGGCTCCAATTTTGCCCCCTTCCTTGCTGGCCTGTTTCTTTATGCATATGAATCTTAATGTTTGTTTGGAAGGGCAAAATCAAATCAAAGGGTAAATTGGCAAAGAAGTTCAACTTTACCTTCAGGTATGTCATTGCTCGTTCAATTCCAAATTGCCAATTCCTTTCTACTAATTTACGCCCCTGAACTAGAAATAGAGATCAGTGAAACCGCCTGGACTGTTTCATATAATTAGACCTATGCATACAGATTCAGAGTGACAAAACATTTCCACAGGGCTGTATGACAAGGGTGATAATTTCAACTTCCCAGTAGTCAACTTTCCCTTTCTGTGGATCAATATTCCAACAACTCTATGGTACAACCGGTTGGGTAGGACACGATCACCTTTTCGTGAAAATCAATATCATCACTATTTGATAGTGATTCATAAACACATAACCACGATGTGGACGGAATCATAGAGGCCCGGGTTCGCTTCCCCACATGGGTACAATGTGTGAAGCCTATTTATGCTGTCCCCGCCGATATTTTACCAAAATATGACTAAACACCGAGGACATAAAAGCGACCAAACCCTTTCCATATCCAAAATAGTACAGTGTACATGCTTATGAAACACTACAAAAGGGAATGACTTAGTATGGTGAGTGGGTATCGATTGTTGTAGGCTGCTTTCATCGATATTCGATAAATATCAAGGCACACGGGACCAGAAATGTGCGTCACACATTGTATCCACGTGGGGGATTAAACCCAGAGGTTTGGCGTGATGAGAGAACGCTTAATCATATGGCTACCCCAACCACTCAACGATATATTGATAGACGTAAGCATTCGCTGAACGCGGCGTAAAATCCGAAACCATAGAAGTGACACAGTTACATAATACAACAGTTTTGGTTTTTTCAATCAAGGCATATGCAAATTGATACTGAGGATCCATGTCGATAACCAGGTTACAGGTTGCAGGACGAAAGGAAGAACCATCACACCATCAAAGGAAACAAGTCTGTATGTGGGAGGAATCGTGCACACCAATAGGCAACATATCATTTTAAATTGCACAATTTCTGTGTACATTGCAAGCACGCTTCCAAGTGGACCACTTACACAAAGAAGTGGGATGTGCGTTTAATCATGCTTTGTGAGACATCATGACATGGAATTTGTAATTACATACGTTTCTTTTTCTATTATCATAAACTGAAAAATACAATCGCGTATGAATGATTTCATCAAAATGCTAATTGTCTTCTATACAGATGAATGACACAGCTGTGGGCCCTAATTAAGCGCAAATCGAGGTCACGTCCACATTGGGTAACATATTTTGTCCATTTATTCTGACATATACTGAACAACAAAAGTTCCTGTGACATTGAATAAGATTTAATGCAAAGTTATGTTTTTTACCAAATCTGAAACAAATTCGGTTTGCAACAGATAAAAGACTCCTGTAAGTGTCCAAATGGTTTCATTTGCAATTCTGACTTCAGAAAATGGCTGATTTCATAAAAAAAAACATGAATATGCTAAAATGTCAATTAACAAATCAATAGCGTGTGTGTCCACCTCTGGTTGCGATGCAAGCAACACATCTTCGTCTCATGGAATGGACCAGGCGTCGCACAAAGTCCTGTGGGATATCTGTTCATATCTGCTGGAGCATGTTTCGAAGTTC